GATTTATTGAATAAAAATACAATTTTTTTAAAAGCCTCATGATGTGGTGAGGAGATAGCTGGTCTTGGAATTAGAAAGATCCATTTTCAAGTCATACTTCTGATACATACCAACCATATGACCACTAACCTCACCATGTCCTGGGCAACTTTCCAAGGTGAAAAATCAGAGAAGCTTCTGATCTTCATTGAAAGATGCAGTTCCGGGGCAGCTAGGTAGCACAGTGGATAGAGCACAGGCCCTGGAGTCAAGAGGACATGAGTTCAAATCCAGCCTCTGACACTTGACACTTACTAGCTGTGTGATCCTGGGCAAGTCACTTAACCCCATTGCCTAGCCAAAAAAAGAAAAAAGAAAGAAAGATGCAGTTCCTCACCAGGAATTCTCTACAGAGAAAAAATCAACAATCCATCCATCCATCCAATAAATAAATGAGTGAGTGAGTGAATGAATGAAGCCATTTGTTAAGTACTTACTACATATAAGATAGTGGGGGGATACAAGGAGAAAAACAACAATCCCTGCCCTCTAGGATCCTATGTTCTACTTGGGGGATACCAAAGGGGCACAGATACACTGATAAGTAGTCTATAAGGTTGAAAGAGAAGGAGGAGAAGGAGGAGTCAGACAAAATGCTCTAGGGATGTTTGAGGAGGTAGAAAGCACAAACAAGTGTGTGAGAAGATGAGCATCAGGAAAGGCTTCATGGAGGAGGTGGCACTTGAGCTGAGTAACCCTTTAAAAAAAAGGAATATGAAAGGCTGAAATAAGAAGGGCCCACATTCCAAGCATGGGAGACTGCTTTGCAAGTGCAGGTCAGCAGAAGACAAGTCAAATTTGGGATCAACTGTAGTAAAGTGGCCCATTTTGATTGGCACTTAGAGTGGGTGAAGCAATATAATATGAAATAAGTCTGGAGAAGTAGATTGGAGCCAGACTGTGGAGAGCCTTCCAAAATCCAGGGCAAGGAGATTGCATTATATCCTAGAGACAATGGGTACTGAAGATTTCTAAGTAGGGGAGCATATGGTCCAATCTGTACCTTAGAAAAATAATTTTGGCAATTGTGTAGAGAATGGATTAGAGAAGAGTGACTGAAGATAAGGGAGGAAATTAAGAGACAATTACAATAGTACAGTGAGTAGGGACAAGGGTCTGAACTAGAGAAGGTGGCTGTATGAATACAGAGAAGGAGATTAATGGGAGAGATGTGGAGCTAGAATGAACTGGACTCATGATTGGATATGGGGGGTGGGATGAGAGAAATGGAAAAGTCAAGGATGACTCCAAATGTGCAGGCTTGAGCAACTGGAAGGATGCTCATGCCCTCCCCAGAAATAGGTTTGTAGGAGAAGCAGGTCTAGGATGGAAGCTGAGTAAGGCTGGATATGTGCATCTGAGAGTCACCTGCTCAGTGATTCCTCTCTCTTCTCAGAAGCTGGCATTCATGATGGGAGGAGGGGGTACCATTTGCCTCCCCTTCTTGATTTTCTGGGGAAGCAGCCCCAGGTAATTTGGATTATCTGGCCCAGCTGCCCCTGAGATAAAGAGATAATCAGAGAGAAAGAGTGGTAGGTGTTCCCTCAAATCCTAGTTGAGAGAGGGAGTGTTCACACAAGCAGCATCAAAAAGCTGGGGCAGAGAAGAAGCAAGTGCAATGATTCAGCATAAACATCATTGGACTGAAGACTTTTTATACTGTGCAAAGAAGGTTTCCCACAACCCCATAAGAAGGGCTGTGAGGACCAGGTACAAAAGAAGGCTTAAAATTATGTGGGGCAGTATTTTTGAAGCAGTCTAAAATATACTCAAAGAGTTGGATTCCCAGAAAGATTACTACTACCTCAAGTTCTAGAAATAACCCTAGGAGGCTGGAATTCTAACACTATCACTCACAAGCCCTCACCAGTGTGTTTATCATTAACAGTTGGCTCGTAGACTTAATTAGCTTTTAGCAAAGGCATTGACTAAGATGTTTTAACAAGAATAGTTGGTATGAAACATTATCCCAAAAAGCCTAGGTGCACTCCTCCACAAATAGCCATAACGCCCATGGAAAGATGGGGCTGAAACTTAAGAGTACTATGGGGGTGGGGCACACTTGAGTCAATAGCCAGCACTTCTCTCCACCATGACAGTTCACACTCCCTGAAATTATCACCTTCCTCAGGTGGTTGTCTTTCTGTATCTGTGTCTGTCATTGTGTATCTCTACTCCCAGCAAGATACATTGTCTCCTACAGCTCCAATGTCTCCTCCAGTGGAAGTGGAGGAGAAACCCCACAAAAGTGACTCTCTCTCAAGGGCCTGGTTCTTCCTCCACTCTTGTTCCCAATTCTCCAACTGAACTCTAAGTCTTCCAACTCCTAAAATGACTTACTGGTTTTATACATAGGCCCAAGAGGGATAATACCCTCTCAGCCAATCACAAGATGTTTCCTCCTATAGCATTATTTGCCTTTATCCAATGGCCAAAGTCAACAGTGAGTGAAAAAACATTTATTATGCACCTACTATGTATCAGGCACTGGGCCAACCCTGTGGATATAAAGAAAGGCAAAACTTATCCACACATTATGGTAGAGTTGTAGGAGAATTTCTTAACATCTATTTTATACTTTGGATTACATTAATTGAGATAGTGAGTGGAACCCTTTTCATGACACTGGGTACTGAAAGAGGTGATGGATGTGACCATCAAGAGATGGATAACATGTTTCATCATGAGTCCCCTGGAAACATGATGGTCCATTGCATTGATCAGAATTCTTAAGTCTTACAAAGTTGCTTGTCTTAACAACATTGTTATTCTTATGTAAATTGTTCTCCTGATTCTGTTCAATTCGTTCTGTATCCATTCATACAAGCTTTCCCAAATTTCTCTGAAACTGTTCCTTTCTCCATTTCCTACTGTACAATTCCATTACATTCAACATAATTTGTTTAGTCATTCCTTGTTACTTCTTTTCAGTCTTCCTATACCTTAAATCCCTCCCCGCCATGAACTCTTCAATCCCATGACACTGGCCTCATTGTTGTTCCTCAAACTAGACACTCCATCTCTGGGCTCCAGGCATTTTCACTGGCTGTCCCTCATGCCTAGAGTGTTCTCCCTCCTCATCTCTGCTTCCTGGCTTCCCTGGATTCCTTCAAATCTCAGCTAAAATCCTTCCTTCTATAAAGGCTTTTCCTCATCCCACTCCCCTTATTTACACTGCCTTCTCTCTGTTGATTTTTTTCAATTTATGCTGCATATAGCTTGTTTGTACATGGTTATTTGTATGCTGTCTCTTCCCTTAGAGTGTGAACTCCTTGAGAGCGAGAGCCTCTTTTAACATTTCTTTATATCCCTAGTGCTTAGCACAGTACCTGGCACACAGTAGATGCTTAATAAATGTTCATTGACTGACTGACAATGCATACACCTCCTTAGCTTCCCGTTCTTTTTGCCACTACAAAAATGAGCTGCAACAAATATTTTTGTGCATATGACTCCTTTTACTCTTACCTTAATCATTTTGAGTTATAGACTTACTAATGCTATCACTGAATCAAAGAGCATGCCCATTTTAGTAACTTCAGGAGAATGTCCCCAAATAGAATGACTGTACCAATTCACAACTCCACCAATAGAGCATTAGTGTGCCTGCTGTCCTACAACCCCTCCAACATGGGTCACTTTCCCTTTTTGTCAACTTTGCCAATCAGATGATTGTAAGGTAGAATCTCAAAGTCACTCTCAGTGTTCTTTGAAGAATCATTGACAATGATAGACGTGCCTCAGATGTAGAGAAGGGCAAATATTGTCCCTTTTTTTTTAGGTGAGGCAATTGGGGTTATGTGACTTGCCCAAGGTCACACAGCTAGTAAGTGTCAAGTGTCTCAGGTCCTCCTGATTCCAGGGCCGGTGCTCTATCCGTTGTGCCACCTAGCTGCCCCCTGTCCCATTTTTGAAAAAAGGAAAGAGAGTGGCATCTGCAAACTACAGGCCTATGAACTAGATTTCTGCTCCTGGCAAAATTCTAAAATTCTATTATTATTAAAGGTAGGGTTAGTGAGCAACTAAAAAAAAAGCAATGATCAGAAAGCATATCAGAAATACGGAATTGTCAAGAATAGGTCACACCAACTAATCTCATTTCCTTTTTTTGTTGGACCTGTGATTTCACTGCAGGAGTGGAGGGGGATTGTGGGGGGGGGGGATTGTGGGGCGAGGGCACGCAGGGGGAAGAGTAGAAAATTCCCACTATTTCTACTATAATTCCAGTCCAGGCCTCACTCCTCTTGGAGCCTCGAATAAGAGTGCCCAGCCTCACAGTACTTCAGGGCTTGATTGCCCTTCTCCCCAACCCTAGCTAGTGCTTTCAAGCTCTCCTCCTGACTCTAGAAGTAGTTCAGACCTCAGACTACCCATGACACCCAGGAGTCACATTTAGATAACCCATGTAGACATACATACCTTACAGGGACACACACATTGATCTTATGCTAAAATGTGGCCCTGGAATTCAATACAATCCTCTAGGTATGATCTGACCCTGGAAGAGGACAATGGCACTGTCACCTCCCTCATTCCGGACACTCTCCCTCTCTTAATACAGACTAAGATGGAATTAATATGTTTGGTTTTTTTTTTTATTTTGACTGCCAATTCTCAAATTATGTTTGCCATCCACTAGGACCCCCAGATCTTTTTCTCTTGAGTTATCATTTATTTGTGTAATCCCTAGCACAGTGGAGAGAACATCTGGCTGTCCCACTTCCAGCTCTAAGCTCCTTCCCCAACCACCACCCTCAGCACCCTAGTTTTGAAATCTGACAGGCAGCAGAGACCCGACTCTAAGCCCCAGGCCTTTACTTGTCCTCAGTGGGGTTCTCCTCCTGCCGCCTAAGCACCATAGGTCGCAGCCCCAATTAGCAAGACAGCAGACTCAGCTAAGGTTAAGGCTAAGGCAAAAGCAGCAGCCAATGGAAAGCACAGCAATTCGAAGGGCCCCACCTCTGAGACAGTCACACCCGAGCAGCCTTCTCTTACCCAGGAAAAATGATTTCTCCTTAACTGGAGATGAGTTTTAGCTACACTTTCTTTGGCCTGCAGTGGGGAAAGCAGCCCTTTGGGGATCCCTGGTGAAGGAGGAGTCAGGCCAGCGGCAGGCCCACCCACCAGGTAAGTCAGTCCCTCTCCCTCCAGTTCCCAGGTCCCCAGCTCACCAGACCCCAGATCCAGATGTGAGATTCTCTGGGCAACTGGCAAATTGAGAATTTCGGAGACTGATAGAAAGGACAGAGACAAGAAGTGGATCGCCTAGCTCAGGGCTAACCTGATCCCTGGGAAAATAGGGCCTATGGCTCCTGATCTAGTTTACCGGGCCTGGACTCAGGAGCCCAGTGAGGGGGAAGCTGGCAGATGACACCACCTACATGGAGCATCTCGAAGACCAAAATGGCTCAGAATGGAGCCCCTGCTGGAATATACACTCCACCACCCCCTCCCCAAAAGCTGCAGGGCCCAGCCCCTTCCCGGTCCCCATGGAGACAACAAGTAGAGACATGAGTGACCTGCTCTGTGGCAGCTGGAATCCAGATGCCAAAGCTGGGTGGAACCTGTTCTGCTGGCTCAGCCCGGGCCTGCCAGGCAGAACCTCTTGCCTGCTATAGGCTGCAGACTGTTTTACTCCAGGAAGCTGGGCTTCACTGAGCTGGGAGCCCTGCAGGCATGGAGGGAGCAGGGAGCAGAAGGCAGAGCAGGGTCTCCTGGGATGTCCCCTAAGGAACCCCATAAGGAGTTTCCTCCCCCCAAAATCCTTTAAACAGCACTAAACTAGCACAACTTGGGGTTGAAAACACCTCTCTTTTAAATCATAATAGTAGCTGATATTTATATAGCATTTTAAGAGTTGCAAAAAACTTTACATATATTATCTCATTTGATCTTCGAAACACTCCTAGGAAGCAGGTAGGTGTTATTATTATCTCCATTTTACAGATGAGGAAACTGAGGTTCATCAAGGTTTTAAGTGATTTGTCCAGGGTTTACGCAGGCAGTATAAAGGCTAAGGCAGGATTCTCTTCCTAACAAAGTGCCACATCCATTCCATCAAACCGTCAAATCAAAGATTGGCTCCAAACCTAGCTCTTAACTGAGCTATTGCTCCATCCTGGGAAACAAGACAATTTGGAATGCTCAGCCTCACCTTTCACCTCTGTTCCTTTGCTTCCAGGGGTGGGAATCTGCAGCCTCACTTGAGGACCTAGAGGTCCACATGTGGCCTTGAGGCCATAGGTTCCCCACCCGTGGACAATCCAAGAAGGCTTCCTGGCAGAAAAGATCTCTGTCAGGACACAATTCAATTCAGTTCAGCAAACCTCTATTTAGTAACCCAGGACCCTGCTCTGGGGAAAGTATAAAGTTTAGAAAAGACTTGCTCACTGTCCCCCAGCCTCTTCCCTCCCAAGGAGATTATATTTTAGGGAGGATGTGAATAATAATAGCTGACACTTACATAGTTCATTAAAGTTTACAAAGCACTTTATTTTCTCCTTGGAACGTCCCAAGAGGCAGCTAATTAAATTCTCATTTCAATAGCTAGAGAAACAGTCTCAGAGAGGCTGTGAGATTAGCTTAGGGACTCATACTAATAAGTGTCAGAGTCAATATTTGAACCCATGTCTCCCTGACTCTGGGCCGAGAGCTCTAGCTGCCACATTATGCTACCCAATAGTAAATGAGGATGGTGCTGGGACAGGATTTCAAGATGGAAGAGCTTGAAATTTAGTCAAGACCCCCTCATTTTACAAATGAGGAAACTGTGCCCCAGAAAAGCAGCACACTGTAGTGGAAAAAAACATTGCATTTTAATTAATTTCAATTCAGTGAACATTTATGAAGCACCTACAATGTGTGAAGCATTATAATGGGATACCAAGAGGTGCTTCAGTGGATAGAGTACACTTGGACTGAGGAAGACCTGAGTTCAAATCCAGCCTCAGACACTTAGTAGCTGTGTCACCTTAGGCAGGTCATTTAACCACTGTCTGCGTCAGTTTCCTCATCTGTTAAATGAACCAGAGAAGTAAATGGCAAACCACTTCAGTATCTTCGCCAAGAAAATCCCAAATGGGGTCATGAAGAGTCAGAAAATGACTCAAAAATTACAAAAATCAACTGAAAAATGACTAAACGACACAATCCTCCCAAGGCTGATTCAAGGATCAAATGAAATGATATTTGTAAAGTCTCTTGCATACCTAAGTGTGCTGTGTAAACTGAAGCTACTGTCATTACAAAGATTAAAAAAAAAGTAGTCCCTGCCCTTAGGAAGCTTACTATCTACTAGGAAAGGATGCAACTCTCTCACAGTTAGGTAACATACAAAGTAATTTCGAGATAAAAACGGTCCCCACTAATAACTGGGAGAACCAGGAAGAGAGCACCTTCCTGTTTTGAAGGAAGCTGGTGATTCTACAAGACAATAAGGAGGAAGTGCATTCCAGACATGGCAGCCCCAGCTCTGAAGTCGAGTGTCTGTGTCAGGTCTGACCTTCCCCTCTGTAAAATGGGGACAATAATACCTTCAATGCATACTCCTCCGCTTCCCCTCACGAGTTGTTGTAAGGGAAGTGTAAGCCTTAAAGGGCTGCAGAAATGGTCATTATTACTTAGTGATCTGCCTGCTCCAGGTTGCTCAGGTCCTCAGGAATAGAGTGGGAGTCGAATTGGAGCCCTGTAATTAGAAACTCTTTTCACTAATATATCTCCCTGCTGGCACCCAGGACTGCTGTTGTTCAGTCCTTTCAGTTGTGTCTGACTCTCTGTGACTCCGTTTGGGGTTTTCTTGGCAAAGATACTGGAGTGGTTTGTCATTTCCTTTTCCAGCTCATTTAACAAGTGAGGAAACTGAGAAAAACAGGGTTAAGTGACTCACCCAGGGCCACACACCTAATAAGTGTCTGGGGCCAGATTTGAACTCGGGAAGGTGAGTCTTCCTGACTCCAGGCTCTGTGTTCTATCCATTTTGCCACCTAGCTCCCTTGTGGGTTAATAATAACAATGCACATCCTATTTAGTATTTATAAAGATTTATGATTTGCCTCACCTTGTGAGGTAGGGAGGGCAACTTTCCATTTTTCAGATGAGGAAACTGAGGCTAAGACAGAGGAGAGAGATCTAGTGAGTTTTCTCTCCCTGTTGGAAAGACGCATCATTATTTTAGGATTATAGACCATAAAAGTCATCTAGTCCAACACCTTCATCTTAACAGAGGAGGAAACTGAAGCCCAGAGAGAGAAGTCACCCAAGGAGTAAACAGCCAAGCCAGGATTTCAACCCAGGTCCTCTTGACTCTAAATTCCAGTCTCTTTCTACCCTATCACCTTGCTGTCAATAGGCTTTGTTAGGCCTTTGACTGCACCTAGTGCCTGACCCCGGATTGGACTATATAATGAGTAGGGAAGTCTGAGCCAGAGCAAACTTCTGTAGATGAAGAGCAGGTATGCCTCACTTTACCCAATAGCCAAGTTCCTTCATCTTATTTTGGATTTCTATAAACAGTCATTGTAAAAGTAATAAAATTAATTACTTGAAGAAACCACATAGTAATTATTTTAAAGTGAACAATCACATTGACCTCCATTTCTCTTTATCAGAATTTTTATCATTTGGGCTTGCTTTATTTAACTAGGGCCTACCTGTGTGGGTATCCCCTCCTCCCTTCCCTGAGGTCTTGCCCAGAGGACATGCCTCTTCTAGAGTCGACAGCACTCAGCCAGGCATCTAATAAAAGTACTAACATCTCACATCAATTTGGGGCTTCAAGGTTACAAAGCACTTTCATCATAACTACCCAGCAAAGTAAGAAATAGGAATATTATTATCCCCATTTTACATTTTATTAGACTCAAAGAGAGTAAATGTTAAGAGCTAGAGCAGGTCTCCTCACTCCAGGTCCCACGCCCTTTCCCTTCACTGAACTGCCCTCCTGACCTCTTTAGAAAAGAATAAACCATTCCCTTCAAGCATCTGGCCTGAAAACCCATTCCCGGATTGATCCAACCCATGCCTTCCCTGGTCAATTCCTATCTTGTCCCCCTGCAGCGGCAGCCGCGTTATTGAGGGACAATGAACTGGAGTGTCTTCGAGGGACTGCTGAGCGGCGTCAACAAGTATTCTACGGCTTTCGGCCGCATCTGGCTGTCCCTGGTCTTCATCTTCCGCGTGCTGGTCTACCTGGTGACCGCGGAGAAGGTGTGGAGCGATGACCACAAGGACTTCGACTGCAACACGCGCCAGCCGGGCTGCTCCAACGTCTGCTACGATCAATTCTTCCCTGTCTCCCACGTCCGCCTGTGGGCCCTGCAGCTCATCCTGGTCACGTGCCCCTCGCTGCTCGTAATCATGCATGTGGCCTACCGGGAGACCCGGGAGCGGAGACACCTGGAGAAGGTGGGCGAAGGCGGCGGGCGCCTCTACCCGAACCCAGGCAAGAAGCGCGGAGGCCTCTGGTGGACCTATGTCTGCAGTTTGGCCTTCAAGGCTGGTGTGGACTCAGCATTCCTCTACGTGTTCTACCGCTTCTACCGCAACTACATGCTCCCACACGTGGTCCTTTGCAGCGAGGACCCCTGCCCCCATACTGTGGACTGCTTCATCTCCAAGCCCACAGAGAAGAACATTTTTACACTCTTCATGGTGTCTACCGCCATCATCTGCATCTTGCTCAACCTGGTAGAATTGGGTTACTTGATCAGCAAGAGGTGCTGGGAGTGCCGGAGGGGCAGGAGAAGGGATGCCAAGAAGGACCTGCTGACTGGGGGTGACCTCATCTTCCTGGGCACGGACCCCAAGCCACCCCTTCTGCCCTTTTCTCCTGATTCCCCCCAAGACCAGGTGAAGAAAACCATGGTATGAAGAGTTGCCTGGACAAGAAGGCCACATGCACTGGTGGGCACCATGCAGCACTGGGCACAGAATTAAAAGGGCAGGGCACTGAATGAAGACCAAGGACCAAACTGGTGTGGAACCAAGGTTCCCCGTCTGGGTGCCATAAATTCCTTTGGGTGGGGAGACCCTCAGTGGTTCATCTAGAAAGGCTACACTTAGTCCCTCCAGTAAAGGAGGCATCACAGATAGGGGGAAGGACGGTGAACTCGGCGATGGTGACACTCTGCCAGTCTTCCCATCAGGACGTCCTTTTGGGGATCAAGCCTCCATCCCCACTGCCCTACCCCATTGCAACATTAGCCTACAGTGTTACATCCAAAGGAAAATAGAGCAATTGGACCCATCCTTTCTGCCATTATGGGACGAGACACAGGCACCGTCAAGTGCTCCCACAGCCTTCACAGTCACACATCCCTCAACCTATTATCCCCTTGGAACAGAGCCACACCAAGGCTCCCATAGCTTGTTTACAGAAGGGAGGAAGTCAGACTCAAGACTGGCCACACTCCACCTGGAGTCATTCCCTTCCGCCTCCCAAAATTCCTTCTCTCCAGCAGTGCGATGCCTCAGTGCCCTGCCTTGCCCTCTCGTTCCCACCCCCACCCCCCAGGCTTCACCTGCCCCGGGGACAGTTAGTGCCCTATCCTACCCCGCAATTGCTGGCTGTTCTAGTGAATCATTGAATATCAGAGCCGGAAGGGACCTGAAAGATAATGGAGCCCAACCCTACTCTATGACGCTTGTCCTATCCTTCCTCCACCCCAACTCGCATTCCACCGACCTCCATAAAGCCTGGTTAGAGGCAGGGTGGAAGGATGGACCTCCTCATTCTTCAGTGCTGCAGGATTCCCCAGTCACTGTATTAGTTTCCTAGTGATGAACTCTCTGCTTCTTCTCCTTCCTAATAGATAAACTGCTTGAATTTAGAACTCAAATTTAAAAAAAAGTTAAAAATTACATGTAATTGAGAAAAATAAAATAAAAATTAAATGTTAAAAAAATAAAACACTGCTTGGTAGCTGGATGCACTGATCCACTGAGATGTGTTTGAAGGGAAAGGATGAGGCGGTGGGTTGACTTGGAGGAATGCGGTAATGGACCTCCTAAGCAAACCCTATCTCAAGCTCCCTCCCTGGAAGGAAAGGAGGACCGAGCTAGAATCTGGAAGTCCCAACTGCAGCATTCTCACACAATTCCAGAGCTCGAGAATCAGAAGGCTCTTTAGAGACCAGCTGGTCTAAGCCCAATTTTAGGGATGAGGAAAATGAGACTCAGATCTAAGAAGGGACTTGACCAAGGGCACTCAGCAAGACAGCCTCAGAGTCTACACCAGAATGCAGGTCTTTTGACTCTAAATCAAAGGCTCATTCCACTGCACTGTGTAACCTTTCCTCTTGACACCCTGAAACTCTTCCCTGAGCCTTCTAGTACTCTGGGAGGATAGCCTTCTCCAACCTCTCCCTACAACCACGACTGCTTACTCCCCTCACCTTGCTGAGCCCCGAACCCCTTTCAAAACACCAGGGCAGAAGTGGGTCTTAAAATACAGTTTAGGAACCAATCGGGAAAGGGTGAAAGTATTCTTGTCACTCTGTTATGAAGGATGCCAAGTTGTGGGACCCCTGGGGACTCTAATCTCCTCATAGGATACAGTAGATTAAACCTGGCCTAATTCTCATGTGAAGCACCCCCAGAACCACCACCCTGACTACAAAAGAAAACAATGCTCCATAGTACATCTAGTGACTTGCTCAAGGTCACCCAGATCAAAAGCAACATAGAGAGGGTTTGAACATAGGTCCCTAGAATCCAGGACAGTGTTCTTTCTTCTCTACCATAACACCTGCCATTTCTAAATTCATATTTCCAGTAACTAAAATGCAATCTCATTAGCCAAATTCTATCCCCCCCACCCCTTCCCATATTCCCCTCAGCAAGGAAAATCTGTGAATTCCAATTCCCAGTAATGACAATGACAATTATAATCACAATAGTTCATGTTTAAGTATTTTTTTAGGTTTACAAAGCACTTTCCACACCACAGTCTGGTAATGAAAGTGTTAATATCCCTATGGGACAGATGAGAAGGAAATTGAGGCTCAGAGATTTGCCCAAGGTCACACAGCTAATCCACATTCTAACAGCTGAACAATCTGAGAAAACGGGGGTCGAAAACGTGCTTCTTTGGAATACAGACACAAGGCAGTGATCTTGTTGAAGTGACTTGAATTTCCCTGTATCCACAGAGGTACTTCCCTGCCCTGGGGGCCAAGGCAGAATCTAAAGTTAACCGAAACTGATAGACAGAAAACTTACCCCTGCACCCTGGAGGCCCATTGCATAGGAAAGTCCCCGCCCCTGCGTGCCTACCTGACTGACTTGGGAGCAGGAGCAGAGTGCAGCAAAGCCCAAGTGTTTGCTCTGTCTCAGTGCCCATACTGCCTGCCCAACCACCCACTGGCCCGACAAGGTGCCTTGGCTCATTGGTCCTGGCTGCTCCGCCCAACAGGTGTTGTGCCTGAGTGGGACAAAAGCTTGAGGGAGGCCCTTGAGCAGAGACAGGAGACCTCGGGGTGTTTCTTACTCCAGCTGCAGCTCCAGATTTGGGCTCCGACTCTTCAGGAAATGGGCCAGAGGATAGCCTGCTGGACCCAGAACAGGTGAGACAGCCCAGTGTGCGGAGGACAGACACCAGAAGCCAAGGCCAGGGGTGGGGGGACACAGGGACAAGGAAGAGGGAGCTACCAGGAGGCAGGGGAAATATGGGGATAGGGATGGGACCAGAGGACGAGCCAGGATCTGGACCAGGGTAAACAGAGTGAAAACCTCGCAGAGGTTTTTGGACCACCAGAGGTCCGAGAGATACCTGGCAAAGATTAGCCCATTTAGATAGCAAAAGGAGCTGGGTCTCAGGTCTTCCTCAAACTCTCTTCCCATCCTTTGGGCAGAGGTCATCTTGGCACATGACTTCAGCTCCTGTAGTTCACTCCTTACCCATACTCTGGCAATTCTGGAGATGGGATGAGAACAAAAGAGAGCTATGATTTCAGAACAAGGACTCAAATGTGGATCTAGGACCTGGAAAGAAATTCTTGCCAAGGCGATGAGCAAAAACAGCCAGATCCATCATAGACTCATAGTATCTAGAATTGGAAGGGACCTTTGAAATAATCTAGTCTAATCACCTTGTTTTGTATCTGAGGAAACTAACATCTAGAGGAGTGACGTGATAAGGCAAATCACACAGGAAGGAAATACAAGGCACTAGGGAGGGTCTTGAGAAAAAATTAAGTAATTGGGAGAGAAATGGGGGACAGCACCTTATCTCAAGGGTGGCCCCACCTCAGCAGCAATCCCAGAGCCTAGTTCCCTGGCCCAGGAGCACTGTTATTGTTCAGTTGCATTCAACTCTTCTGACCCCATGTAGGGTTTTCTTGGCAAAGATATTGGAGTAATTTGCCATTTCCTTCTCCAGCTCATTTTACAGAGGAGGAAACTGAGGCAAGCAGGCTTATGTGACTTGCCCAGGTTCACACAGCTAGGAAGTGCCTAAGGCTGGATTTGAACTCAGTTCTTCTTGACTCCAGGCTCTGCATTCTTTCTCCTGTGCGTCTAGGCTGCCTAGAATATGAAAAGGAGTAGAGTCATGGAAAATTCAGAGGTCCCTTTCTTTTGGCCTGGGATGCACTAAGGGACTGTCGGGAGCAGTTTATTCTCTCATGTTCTTTGGGTCATACAGATGTTCTTAATTGTTTTGTATGTCATAGGACCCTTGGCCAGTGTGGTGAAGTCCGTGGATCCCTTCTCAGAATCATGGAGTTGTTGTTGTTGTTGCTTTAAATTCAGAATTCAAGAAAATATTAAATATCCTTTAGAGGTTAGTGGAAAATTAAGATGTCTTTTTTTTCCATCCGAGTTCTTAAGCCCCAGGATATCCACCTGGGGACTCCAAGTTAAGAACTGTTGGACCAATGCAAGTCTGTGTGCCTAAAGCCCTCACAAGAAAGGCAGTGCTGTGGGAGTTAATAGTCAGGAATGGCGGGGGGGGGGGGGTGTTAGGGGAGCAAGAACTGATTGTAAACATTTATTAAGGGGCAGCTAGGTGGCACAATGGATACAACGCTGGCCCTGGAGTCAGCAGGACCTGAGTCCAATTCCTGCCTCAGTCACTTGACACTAGCTGTGTGACCCTGGGCAAGTCACTTAACCCCGATCACCTCACTCCCAAAAAAAAATTCATTAAACACCTACTATGTGCCAGGTACCACTGTGCTGAGTGCTAGGGATACAAATATGAAAAAGAAAGACAGACCTTGCCCTCAGAGAGCTTACAATCTAATGGAAGAGACAATACATTAAAAGGAAACTGAAGAGGAGGAGGAAGGAGGGGGAAGGAATTTTCATAGCCATAAAAAGGGTACCTGGAATTTCCCTGCCTTTGCTCAGCCCTAAAGCAGAGAACATATATGACAGAACATATTCTTATCATTTTTCTTTGTCAGTTGGGTGGGCTACGAGGTTGAGATATGAGATCTTTTTATTATCCCTGCATTTAAATTATCCAGGGTATCCAGCTGATTTAGGAGTAGATGAGACTAAAGCATGCTGCTTCCATATTAGGTGATTCAAAGGACAAGCATCTCCTGCAGCCTGTGTCGGTGACTCGGACAGCATGAACTGGGCATTCCTCCAGGGCCTCCTGAGTGGGGTCAACAAGTATTCAACCATTCTTGGCCGCGTCTGGCTGTCGGTGGTACTGATATTTCGAGTACTGGTGTACGTCGTAGCAGCAGAGGAAGTGTGGGACGATGACCACAAAGATTTTGACTGCAATACTCGGCAGCCAGGCTGCGCCAACGTCTGCTACGACCACATCTTCCCCATCTCCCACATCCGCCTGTGGGCCCTGCAGCTGATTCTGGTCACATGCCCCTCGCTGCTTGTGGTCATGCACATAGCCTACCGAGAGGAGCGGGAGCGGAGGCACCGCCTGAAGCACGGGCCCCAGGCCAGGCCCCTCTATTGCAACCCAGGAAAGAAGCGAGGAGGCCTCTGGTGGACCTACTTACTGAGTCTGATATTCAAGGCTGGCGTGGATGCCGGATTCCTGTATATCTTCCATCGCCTCTATAACAATTATGACATGCCCCGTGTGGTGCACTGCTCTGTGGACCCCTGCCCCAATGTGGTAGATTGCTTCATCTCTCGGCCCACGGAGAAAAAGATCTTTTCCTACTTCATGGTGGCCACAGCTGTTATCTGCATTCTGCTCAATCTGGGGGAGGTGTCCTACCTGGTCTGCAAGAGATGCCAGGAGCTCCTAGGTTCACAGAACTCGAAGCATCGGCAGCATCGGAGGCGTGGCCACCATGGTCCCTTGGGGTCTTTGCAGGATGCCTGCCCCCCTTATGCTCCCTCCCAGGCTTTGCAACAAGGTGACCCCACCAAGGAGGTCACATTGCCTTGTTGAAGTCTCTTATTTCAAGCAAGGATGGAAAGACAGGACAATCATAGAAAAACCCTGGTTCTGGAGTTAGAAGACCTGAGTTCTTCTACGCCTTAGTGACTTTGGGCAAGTCCCACCTCTAGTCTTAAGTCTTATCACCTGTACAAGATTGGACTAGGTTGTATCTAAGGTCCTTCCAAATCCAAATCTATGATCCTATGATGCAATATTGACAGCATTACAAGCATCATGGCAGGCAGAGATGGCTGGAGGGATGAGAGACTGAGCCATTACCACTTTCTCTCCAGTCAGCTTGGTCAGAGTCCCCTCATCTGAGGAAATGTGGTCTTAAGTGAGCAACAGGGCCTTAAGAGGAGTAGATAGGGTAAAGACAAACTTGCCACCAGCAACAGATCCCATCCTTGGAAGGGTACGGGGCCAAATAACCGAAAAGTTCAGCTTCTGCATCTCCTTCCCCTTAGGAATGCTCCCCACCATGAGCCCCACAAAAGGAGCTAGTGCAAGGTGGAGGGTCACCATGAAGAGATGAAGGCTTACTCAGGGGCTGGGTTGGGACCTCATGTGTATGCACACCTACAAAAGGAGAAAATTCTGAATTAAAGCATTTTATAAAGTACTTGGCAAACAGCTCTGGCCTTGGAAAGCAAGTCAATAATATTTAAATTCACCCCTACCTTCTAGGGGGTAAAGTCCTGGGGATGTGGGATAGAGGGAAAGAGAGATGACAAGGTGGGGATAACTTCCTACAATTAAAGATGTCCACTTCTGGAAAGGGCTGCCTGGAGAAGCAATCGGTTCTCCCACAATCACACACTGGATATCTTCAAGCAGAGAGTGGATTGGGTACCAGTTGCTGGGAAAAGGACTCCTATGCAGGGTCATTTTAGACAAGATTGCCTTCAAGGTCCTTCCAACTGTAAGCTTCTAGGGGAGAAATGATGTCCCTTTTCTACTCCAGTTTTGGAAAGAGTCTGGATGATGTCATCGCCCTGAGATGACCAAGTCAAGACTCTCCTTTGGGCCAAGGTGTGCCCCTCTCAGGCCAGCAAAGGACAGAGAAGGTTGAGGATATCCCATCAGCTAGGGGACAGGTCCCAAATGGCTTCCAAGGCTTTGGCCCAAGATAGAGTTTAAAGAAGAGAAAATCTGGGAAAGACAAAAAGACAGATACCCACACCCACAACCCCTTCCCTCTGCCCAGCTCACTACCCATCACAGGCTGGGACTTGCCTTACTGCAGATGACTCAGCCTTGGGTATGGAAAGGGGCACTTGGGGAGAGACAGAAGAGTTGAAAGGAGGGGGGAGGGGAGGGTGAGAAGCAGGGGAACCATTTCTCTCTAGTTTGGTATTTGTTTGTTTTCTTCAGCGGAGGTGGGGTGTGAAGGGAGACGACAGGAAGAGTAAGCATAGAGTTCTCAAAAGAAAAAATGAGAACAGAAGGAATCTCAACCAAACGGAACAGCTTTGAAAGTTACTTATTGGATTTATTATACAATTTAAGAGAAAAGCAAGCTCTACATAATAGAAATGAGCTTTTTATGTACAGTCTTTCCTTCCATTCTACAATGTATGTGAAAATACTCATTTTATTTGGTTGTTGTTAAATTCAGAATTATTTAAAATAAAAATTATTAAAAATAAAATGGAGATTAAAAAAAAAAGAAACAGTTCTTTTTGTCCAAACAGTTGTACTGGGTGAGATGGAGGTGAGAAAGGAGTGGAAGGGACCTAGGGAAAGGCAGTTTGGGGAATAGACCAGTAGCATCAGACATCTGATGACTTGTCCAGAATCAAGCTGCTCCCACCCCAAACAATCAGCATCGCTGGGCTCTGGCCTAAGAAACCCCTCATGGACAAAATCTCAGAGTTGGAAAGGACCTCAGAGGATATCTACTCCAATTCATACCTAAAAATGGATCTCTCCCTACACCATCCCCAACAAATGGTCATCCATTAAAGACCTCCATTAAAGACTTCATAGGATAGAAAACTGACTACCTCATTCCACTTATAAAAAGCTCTGTTTGTCCCTTAAAATTTCTTTGAATCTTTACCACCGCCACCATCCCCTTATCTGGTAATTATAACAATATCAGCAACTAACATTTATGATGTTTCATAATTTATAAAGGGCTGTCCTTTGAAAACAACTGGCAAGGCAGGTAGTACAAGTAAGTAGCACTATTTCCATTTTACATATGATGAAACTGAGGCTCCAAGAATCCAAGTGACTTGCCCGTGGACGTGCCTGGGGTGAGAGTCACTGGGCCTCTCATTAAAGAAGGGAGGGACAGTCCTATCACATACCATTTTTCCCCACTTGAGAAGCTGGGGAATGACTCCACTGAAATCCTGGACTCATCTCCTGTTCACCTTATGGACAGTAAAAAGTTATCTGGACCAATTCCCACACATACACATATACAGCTGGAGCTCCAGGGAAGATGGTTCCTTCTATTTAAAAAAAAAAACTATTTTGATGTATTTTGTTTTTAGGTCAGCTAAATTTTCCCCAGTGCCCTTCCCTTTTTCCCCTCCTAAAGAATCATCCTTTATAACAAAGAATTTTTTAAAAAGGAAGAAAAGGGAAGAAATCAGCAAAACTAATCAATATATGTAAAAAAAATCTGACGATTTGTGCAATACTACTCTCCCACGGACCCCACCTTCACAAAGAAATGGCCGAAGCATCTTCTCCAGTCCCTTCTCAGGGGCCACCCTTTTGCTTTGTAACTTGCAAACTTCCTTTTTCATTGTGGTATGATGCTTGGTCTGTCCATTTGCAATGCTGTCGTCATCTTCTATAGTTTTCTGAGTTTCATTTATTTTCCTGCATCAGTTCACGTAAATCTTTCCATGCCTCTCTGTGTCCACCATATTCATTACATGTTTCCTTTAAGCTTAAGGGCACTTTTCAAAAGGTATCTGCCCTTCCTAAGTGAGACACCAGGCTTAGCTACTCCCTTTCTGGCCCAAATTCCCCACTTCAACCCAAGAGTGCCCTAAGGTACTGACAAAAAGACTCTGGTCCTGCCTAGCACCTTCTTTCTGCCTGAAGATATCCCCAGGAATCCCAAGGTTCCAGGGTGATCAGGTGGGTCAAGGCTCTCTGTCCCAGGCCAAGGTGACAGAGCCTCAGAGCTCAAAACACTGGATCTGTGCTCAACCTTCCTCCCCCATACAGCTGCAGATGGCTGGCTCAGGCAGCTGTCCCAATTTCACACCCACTGATTACAAGCACACCCACCCCCAGATGACTTCTTGAATCAGGCCTCCTCTATAAGGCACACCTGAGCCCCTGCAGAGGGTGTTTCCAGGACTGACTTATCCCCAGTCATGCTGGGACCACATCTGAGAAGGGAATGCTAACTCATGGAGGGACAGACAAACACCAGTCCTGGTCATTTCTCCACATGGGACGCCCCTGAATGAACCATCAGGACTGATTAATCTTAATAGGCTTCCTGGAGGAGAAGAAACATTCCTCTACAGACTCTGGGACCACAGACCCAGAATGATAAGTCTGAGCCCTGAATTCTTCCCCCAAGAATGGATCCTTTGTGGGTTACCTGCAGTAGCTCCGCCTCCTTTAAAATGAGGGAAAAGGGGGTGAAGTCAGGGATGTGAAACTTCACCTAAGCCATCACACTTCCGGGGATCAATCGGTCCCCTGACCCACCTGGTTTCTTTTCTAAACCAAACACAAATGACTTTGGACCATCCATTCCTCAGCCTTGTTCACATACTGGCCCCCTACACCCCCACTGATAACTGAGGGCTGCCCACATTTGGGCGGGGGACCTTCCTGACCATTACCCAAGCTCTTCCTGCCCTGCACTCATTCACCACCACCCCTTACTGGTGACGGTGTTGTTCTTTGTCCTTCATTTTCAAAGAGGACCGATTACTCTAGGAAAACAGGGAAGAGGAAGGACCAGGAGAGTAGATGAGGGGGCAGACTAGGCATGGTGTATAGTGGGGGAAATACACCCTATTTGGAGTCAGAGGGCCTTCCTGCCAAGGCACCTTCTTCCACTTAGCCCCTACATAGAGGAACCTCACCTCTCTTGGCCTCAGTTTGTTATTTCAATCCCATTCGATTCAAAATGCACATCTAAGCACCTACTACATTTAAGATACCTTCTGGCATTGGGGATACAAAGCCAGAAACAAACAAAATAGATCCTCGCCTTATTCTATCAGGCTGATACAAATGGAAAGATAAGTACCTGCAAGATAATTTGAGGGGGCCTGACCACTCACTAGGGGGATTAGATTATCATTCTGTAAGAGGTGGACCATTGGGAAGGATGGTGTGAATTCTAAAAACAAGAAGTGAAGAGGAGGTATGGTCCAGAGAGGGCTCAGCAGCCTGTGCAAAGATCCCAAGGCAGGAGATGGTACGCCCAGGACCAGGAACAACCAGTAGGTCAGCTTGGCTAAAATACGCAGTGCATACGTGGCGGGGAGAAACAGTAAGCCTGGAGAGGTATTGTGAAGGGCCTTAATTACCAGGCTGAGGGATTTCTGTTTGAGCCTATTTAGGCAGCTGTGGATTAGGGAAGGGAGAAATTAGAAGCAAGGAGACCAATTATAAATCTGTTGCAAGAGTCCAAACAAGAGATGATGGAGAAAAAAAATTTTTTTAAATAAAAAAAAAGAGATGATGGAGGGCTTGAAGTCGGGTGATGGTCATGTAAGAAATAAGATTACAGAATCATCCATTTAGATCTACAAGGGACTTTCCAGGATTGTCTAGTCTAACCTCTTCATTTTACAGAAGAGGAAACTGAGTCCACAGAGAGGCTAAGTGACTCGCCTGAGGTCATATGGATAGTAATCAATAAATGTTTACTAAGTGCCTACTCCATGCTAAGCACTGGAGATACAAAAAGAAGCAAAAGACAGTCCCTGCCCTCTAGGAGCTTACAAATAAGCAACAGAATCGGGATTTGGACTAAGGATCTTTGACTGCAGATATGTATCACTGCACCATGCTCTTCTCACCAGAAATGCAGGAGGTGTTGTGGGGACCTCCACAACAAGATCTTGCAGCTGAGTGGATGGGGTAGGGAGCCTGAAGGAGAGTGAAGCATTGAGGATGCTCTCAAGTTTCAAATTCAGGTCACTGAGAGGATGGGCAGAAATAAGGCAGATGGGAGGATGGCCAGGTTTCAGGAAGATAATGAGTTCCATTTTGAACACATTGAAAACACATTGAAAAAATGAGATGTTGGACTGTATGGTCTCTAAGCTCTAAGCTCATCCAGCTCCAAATCTCTCCTATCCCCAAGGCACAGCTGGGCTCACCAGTGCCCACAGTTTCACACATGAGACTGAGGAACTGAGAAATGGCTATACCTGCCCACCTACCTGCCCAGAAGTAGAGGTCCACCCCTGGACACTCCTCTCCAGCAGACTGAGGAGAGGTCAGACAGGTGGGAGGAGGACCAAGAGAGGAAAGACTGAAGGAGAGAATATGCAGGAGGAGGGGTTGGTGAATGTTAAGAAAGGTCAAGGAAGATGAAGACTGAGAAAAGGTCATTCCAATTTGGTGATTAAGAGGTGACCTTTGAGTGAGCAGTTTCAGGAGAGTGGTAGAGGCAGCAGCCAAAATTCAAAAGGAGGAATGGGGTGAACAAGTACTGAGAAAGTGAAAGCAGTCAAAGAGAGAAACTGGAGCTAGGAGAGACCCTTCATATGCATCAGAGAAGGAGGCACCAGGGAGAGATTGAAGGGGTGTGTGTGTGTGTGTGTGTGTGTGTGTGTGTATGTGTATGAGAGAGACAGAGACAAAGAGGAGATAGGGAGAGAGAGGGAGAGAAAGACACAGAGACAGAGACAGAGAGAGAGAGAGGGAGAGAGAGAGGTAGATTTTAAATTCCAGGAGACTGGAGGGAACAGGATCAAAGGCATCAGTAGAGAAATAAGGAAAGGGGCCACCTTACCCACCAAGACTGGAGTAGAGAGAAGAGAATGGGTGAAAATGTAGAGTTTTTGAAGACTAAAAAGGGGTAGATGAGAGTGTTCACAACATATAATCCAAATCTTCCTAGTAAAATAGGAGGAAAGGTTACCTGCTAAAAGCAGAGTGGAGTTGAGAGGGACAAGAAACCAGGTGTGGTGGTATAAGCCTTTAATCCCTGCCATGTGGAAACTAGGGCTGGTGGATGGCTTAAGCTTGAGTGTTTTCTGAGTAGCAATGAGCTAAACCAATCAATCAAGTGTTCACATAAATCTGGAACCGACATTGTGAGCCCCAAGAACAGGTGGCAGCAGGCC